GCTCACCTTATGTGGAAGTAATCAAGAAGTTCAAAATCACTATTAATAAAATTATTGATATTGCAAAAATCTTCCTTTCTCAATTTCTTCTTTTTATTGGAGAGGGGGTCATAAAGGTTTTTAAGGGGATGAAGCCTGCCTTGGATCAGCATGCATAATTCACATAACTAAAATGATACAACTGCTAAAATGATATTGTCGGTCTTCTTCGGAAGGACCATAAACTTCACAAGACCACAAAAACACCAGTCAGCATATTTTTACAGCAAAAGTCTAGAATCCAAGTAATTATTTTATGCCAAATAGCTACTGTCCAGAATTTTGTATTAAGAACTTTAGTGAAATTATACAGGGTGATTCACTACCAGACCGACAAACTTGCAGGGTGTGTAGGGGGTACAGAGATGACTCTTAATCACATAAGAATGCAGGGTCGCAAATGCCGTAGTTGCAAGCTATGGTGCAAAGAAGCAGAGAATAAGAATAGAAACAGCAACACATTAATGGGACAGGAAACATTTCATTGAAAGGCTGTATTACAACAGGTGCCCGAAGTTATGACCAGAAATTTGCCTGACAGTGACGCTGCATAGAATTCTTTAGGTTCTAAAAGATTTCTCCCTTGTGGTAGATGGCGCATAACGGAAGGTTGTGTGAAGAGCGATCCTGCTGAAAGTCGTCATTTGCGATCCATTTCTCGAGGTAGTAGGATGAAGGCTTATTAAAATGATGAACTGGTCAACATGCTAATCATGTATGAAGCTGCAGATTGTAATGGGCATACCGCTCGACGGTTGTACTAAGAATGTTAACCTAACAGGTGTGCTTCACACAGGGTTGCCACTCAAACAGGAGAATGAAATTCCCTGACTTTTCCAGGTTTTCCAGGTGTGTTTCAAGAAAATTCCAGTCTATCTGCGTAATGTACATTGGCTGTGCTAAGAGGTAAATTAATTATGGTATTACTTGTATTGTGTAGCAAATTCACTTAATTACTCAATAACTCCCAGAGGACATTTATTCTTAATTATTCTTGGTATACTTTGTTTGATATTTTTTGTTTAGTTTCCACTAAGAAACTTAATAAATTTAAGATATATATATTGGATAACAAATGTATGTTTTATTTAATTATTACTCATGATCATCACCAGTTCAACACGAGGCTAATCCAGCCCTTATAAATCACAACGCAATGCTAAATAGTTAGGTTAGATTTTAGGCAAATTTAATTTGCGTGAGGTATGTTCTTAAAAGGCGCCTTAACGCTTGAAAACACAAATATAATTATAATAGTTGTTGTTTTCTCCACTGAAGATTGAGATTAGAATATTCCCAATCTGGAATAAAATAAGGCTTTTTCTGCAGACATTCTGCAGCTAAACGAAAGAAAGAAATCTATTTTAATAAATTGAGGTATTTTATATTTATTTTGCAGCATACATAAGGAAAAAAAATATGTGCATTAAATTTCGTGATGGTATGTCATCATACTGCTATAATTAATTTCAGGATTATGCCAGAGAAAATTTTCCTGAAATTTGGAAATATTATTTACTAATAATAAATAAATTTAGAGGGAAGAAGCAACATTAAATTATATGAATAACATAAAAATATTTACTTAAAAATTGAATTAGAATAACAACAAACAAATAAAAAAATTGAAATATAAAAAATTTTAGCGAATATAGTTATATTACATGGCTAGCCTAGATGACTGATACTATTTTTTTATTTTACTGCAAAATGGCAAGGTATTTATTAAAAGAAAAAAAAAAGGTTAAAAAGATTTTGCGGTAAAATTCTAGTATACGGTAAGGCTTTGGCACGATTTTGAAAATTGTCGCCAAGACCAAAATGACCCGTTTACTGCACATCAAGATGTCGCCAAATCCCATTATTATTCTAAACCAAGAACGTCTATGTAAAAAAGAAAAGGTTCCATAGAAGTAAAATGCTATTATGCCGCTAGAATGCGGAGGGAAATTTGCCAAGGGATTTGGCGACAGAACCTGGCGGCCAGAATTTCCTCTCCCGCGATGTGTACAGGAAAAATTGAGAAACACGTGTTAAGAAGAAACGCTCTTTGACAAAAAGAAACTATACGAAAATCCGTTTTAAATTATTGCGAAAAATCCAAGAAGAAACGTTTTATCAAAGGACGTTTCTTCTTGGATTTTCGCAATAATTTTAAAAACAGATTTTCGTAGTTTTTTTTTTTTTTCCCCTGAAAATAACTAATCCATGAATTAATTTACTTGCGCCAAAAATATTTTCTTTTCCTTTAGAGTTTACCCACTTGCGCTAAGACTAAACTTCACGGTTTCGGTGCCGTGCGCTACAATATAACAAGCCGTAAAGTGTCTCATTTATGCCGCTCCGCATCTGCGAGTGCAATCCAGAGCTGTAATTCGAGAAATAAATAATCTCGTTGTTAGACGACGTGTGCACCACATTATTTTCATTTTTGCGATAAATGTTTATCGACGTGGTGTTCACGTCGCTCGTGGTTTGAGACAAAAGCATCTTGACGTGCGTGGCACATCTTTTTAGCGCAAGTGGTTAAAGAAATTTTAAACGATATTCATTTTATGAACCCTTGATAACGTGACCTTCAAACTTCGACACCGGTTTCGAGCTTTGGCGACAGATATATTAGACATGCACAGCTGTTTTCCCTCTATGATGGAACGGAGCCACAGCCACGTCTGTTGCAGAGAGGTTTTCCTTCTTTACAATATATATTTCTTTGATTCTAACCTCCATGGTACCGTATACTAGGATTAAACCCATTTTGTTTTATACGAGAACAGGTACTTTCTTTAGCTCATGCACTGCACATGCGATTCTCAAAAATATTGGAAACCAAAAATTGCGGGAAAGTTCTTTGCCTTTCTAATAGACAATCAATTGGAAGTGCGAAAATGGGCTCTATGCCACTACCCGAATGACACTCACGTGATACATAATTCGCCAAAAAAGTTACCTCTTCCGACGTCGGCGCAAAAATTGCTTTTTTTGGCGGGATCGTTGTATGAACTTCCCTGACTTTTCCAGATTTTGACAAAAATACTTAAATTCCCTGACTTTTCCCTGAATATTTTGGTCAATTTTCGAATTCCCTGACTTTTCCCGGTTCTCCCAGTTTTCCAGGTAGCGTGGCAACCCTGTTCACATCACAAGACCTTCCCAAGTGTGAACAGAAAGTTACATGAGACTAGTTGTTTAATGAATCGTCTGCGAATGATGAGGACACCTGGCAATGAGAAGACGATCTTAGGTCTGGCAGAAGACAATCCAAGTACAAGTACTCGCGATAGCCCAACAAGTGGTTTTATCTCAATCCATTGTTTGGAGGATACTCGCAGCAAATTAAATGAGCATATACCATCTTCACTGCGTCCAATTACTAGAGCTTGAGGATTATCCATTCTGGAAGACGTTTGCTACATGGTTCCTGCAACAAAGTGCTACAGACTGCGCATTTCCTGCATCCGTATTGTCCACGGATGAAGCATACTTTGCACATGAGGGAGCCATCAATCAGCATAATGTCCATGTCTGGGCTGTGGAGTACCCTCATCGGAAGCAAACAGGAAAAGCTCAAGAGCGTTTCTCCGTCAATGTTTGGGTTGGCATTCTTGGAGACTACCTCCTTGGACCATACCTTCTATGCAGTCCCTTTGGACAGTAGAGAATACCTGATCTTCTTGCAACAAGTTCTGCCCAAACTTCTTGATGCAGCACATGTTCTTGCATCATTGTGCCACTCCATGTGGTACAAGCATGGGGGGGGGCTTCTCCACATTATGCAAGTGACATCAGTCAACACCTCGACGTAACCTCTGGATAGTGGTGAACAGGTCATGGCGGTCCAGTTCATTGCCTGCCACACTGGACATCTTCTGGGGTCACACGAGAAGTTTGTTGTACCAGATGCCCGTTAATTTAGTTGAAGGCCTCGTCACTCGAATATCTGTAGCTGTTGGTAGGATACGTGACAATGCCAGGAATCTTTCAGAAAGTACAGAATTCAAAGCAGCACCACTGTCAGGCCTGCCAGATGAGTTCTGGTTGTAATTTCAAACATCTGTTGTAACACAACCTTTCAATAAAATGTTTTCTGTCCCATTAATGTGTTGCTGTTTTGTTCTTTTTTTATGCTTCTTTGCACCATAGCTCGCAATTACATCATTTGCAACCCTGCATTCCCGTGTGATTCTGAGTTGTCTTTGTACCTCCTACACACACTGCAAGTTTGTTGGTCTGATAGCAAATTACCCTGTATGTAAACTACAGTATTTGTATAATGTTAACATGAAGGGCCACAAGAATACAAATGCTTTATTGGAAAAAAATTTTTAGGTATAGGTCCATTTAACAGATGGCACCAAGCTGGCACTGATTTTGGTATTAAAAAAAAAAAAAAAAAAAAAAAAAAAAAAAAAAAAAAAAAGCCAAGTTTGGCGAGAAATCACCAAAAGTTGTCAAACTTGGCGACTACTTGGTCTGATACCTCTATTTGATCCCTATATAACTATCACTGTATATGCTTTCCAACAATTTCGAGGAATCGAAGCTACTGCAAATTTCTTAGCAGCCTGAGGAAAACTATACAAGACCAAAGAGAGCATCAGCTCTCAGTTTAATTCAGATATGAGTTCCCAGCTTAGCTCAAAGTATTGAGATATCATTCTGTGAGCTGATGCATTAAGGCTTTGTATATTGTCTTGTGTTTAATGTTCTTAGCAGTTTGAAGTGGAAACTACAGTCTGTGCTCTGCCATAGAGAAGAGTTGCATGAGTACTTTTGTGAGAAATCCCAGAACTGAAAAATGCTTCTTTTGGAAAAATAAATTTTATTATACTTTCATTAGTTCTGTGTGCATTCAATCCACTATAAACCCATATGCACATAACAATGCTTTAAATGAAAATAGAAGAAACACAGCATTTGCATAAAAAATCTTTTATATACTTTGAAAACAATGAAATTACCTCATCATCAAAAGCATGCAGAGGTGGAGCTAATCTGATACATTCTGGTTTAAAACAAGACTGCATTGGAGCATCAGCACCACATAACAATGCTTCCCTTGTAATTTTCAAGACATTAGCATCTATTGTTTCCCTGAAATACAGTCAGCTTTTACAACAATATAAAATAAACATTTGCATTACCTAAGCTGGCAATTACTTATTATTACTTATGTTGTTTTAAACATTCAAATTAATAATATGCAAAATAAAAAGAACACAAATAATTTTTTAAAGTTTAAATTATCCAACACGAAGGCACTATAAAAAGCAAAGAATAATGTACCAATTATTACAATAGATAGACCATAGTTTAAAAAATGAAGCAATAATAATAGAAGTTGCTTATCTGATTTTAAAAATAATTACAGTTAATCTATACAACTATCTATGTAAATATGGCTTATACCTATTTTCAAAAATAACAACAATTAATTACTAAACAGATTTCAAGATTTAAATTTCAAGTACAATGTTATATTTTTTTAATCTAAAGTACAATTTATATTTTTAATGCTGCTGTTGCACAATTTACTAGAATTATCAATATTGACTGCTAGCAATTCCACTAGGAAAACCAAAATATTTTACTAATAAAGAAATCTCATACGAGAAAATGTTGATAGTACTGTAGCAACTTATTATGAGAAGCTTTATTTTCTTGTAATAATATTATTACAAATAATAAAATTAGTAAAAATTTGTACATAATGGTTCATGAAAACAAACATTTGATAAGGACTTGTATATTTTTGTGTAAGTTTATTGCAATTAGTTTTATATGAGTATTGCTATAATTTTTATATCTACATAGACTTATTCACCTGTTCAGCAACCTAAATACTTTCAGTGACTACTGATATGAATCAGCTTAGATAAATTATATGTCAGCTTCATTTATTGCCTTTTAGAAGGTAACTTATTTGAATATAACAAGGCCATGACTCTAAAATATAGCATATATAACACCAATTTATGATCATTAATTTTATCATTGGTATATTTTAGGCCATGGCTCTAAAATATACTGTATATGCTCTAAAATATACTGTATATGCTAAATAATGATAAATCATGATCATTCTATAATAATCTAATTATTTAGAAGCAGTGTTCTAACTGAAGAAAATAAAAAATAATCTTGCAGAGTTCCCAATAAAATATCCAGTCATTCCAAAAGTTATTTGATTATTCAAATCAAAGTTCATTTTCTTCTAATGACCTCATTACTACTCATACAAAGTAACTTTGAATGAAGATGTTTAAATAGGGTTTTTTCCTGTTCGTGTTCCATGATGAGTTGTGGCATAACTTTTATTTCAGGGCAGTGCTAAGAATGAAGAAACCAAAAATTCCCTCGTCATAACTCGTCATAGTACATGCTTATTAAAAAAAGGGGGGGCTAGTCAGATTGCTTGAAAATTTGTGCTATATACGGGAAAAGTGCTGTTTCTGATGATACAGTTCAAAGATGGTTTGATAAGTTAAAGCATGCAAATTTCAGCCTCAAAGATGATGCTTGCTCTGGACGACCATATTCTGTAAACAAGGACCTAGAAGTCATCGCTGAAAATTTAAGTTATACAGTTCAGAAACTATCAGACGGAATAATTATTCAAAACAGTACATGATTTTTCGGAGAAGAGTGGATATGTACACTGCTATAAAGTAAGGGCACTCTATACCTTAACACCGCAGAATATGCTTGTCTGGGCATGGAATTCTTTGTTGAAAAGAAACAAAGAAGCTCCTTTTCTGAAAGTAGCAATAGACAGTAGATGAGAAAAGGATGCTATACAATAATGTTACAAGAAAAAAACATGTTGCAAACCAAAAGAACTTCCTTCAGTAACATGTATGTAACATTATGTATACTATGTACATGTATACTAGGTACATGTATGTAATACTATGTACCCAAAAATGTAATACTATGTGTATGGTGGGAGTACAAAAGAATTGTGCACTACAAATTGTTGCCACCAAATCATACAAAGCATTTGGAACAATACTCTTTCAAAATGGCAGTTTTAAAAGCAGAACTGTCTAATCTCTGAAGTGTTGTCTTCCATCATGACAGTGTTCAACCCAACATTTCAATGAATGTCAAATAAAAACTTACTGAGTATGTCAGAGATGTTTTCTACCACCCCCTCCATATTGATTAGATCTTGCTATCTCAGATTTTCATCTCTTCAAGTCACTTCAAGATTATTTGAATTGTCTGAAGTGCACTTCTCTGGAAATGGTCAAACAGCACATTGATAATTTTTTACCAATAAGATTTTATTTAAAAAAGAGAATTTCTCAACTGCCTTACACATGGCAAAAGGTCAACAGAATAAAATGGTGCTTATGTGATTCAATAACATTTTGTACAGACCCGATAAAATTTTTAATTTCCTTGATTTTTCATAATTAAAAAAGAACAATTTTTATTTATGCACAGTGAAGTACTTATCAATTTCATTACACGTATGTGAACAATGTTATGTATTTATTAAAATGTACACAGAAATAGCTGACAATGCTATAAAAATTCCCTTTCGCTGATTATTGTAAAGTAATTGAAAAATGCATGCTATAAACATGCATCTAAATGAGAAGTTCCCAAGCTTTTTTGCCCCGTTAACCCAGTTCCAATTTTTCCTGTTTTTCATATACCCTCCTTCCTAGGGGTTGTTCCAAAACCAGTCAGGCAGTGTAATACTTATACTCGAGCATTTCAAAACAGAGTGAAACGGAAGGTAGTTTCACCCAAGGCATTCCAAAACACTCGAATGAAAGCAAAATGTATGAAAATGTCCCATGACAAGCACAAAATTTATCTGACACTGGCAGCTGTTAGGTGAACTTTTACATTGGCTGTGTGGTTTTCGAAAGCTATTCTAATAGTGAATTTTTAAAAACGCATCAACCTCAAACATGTTTTTGACAAATGACAAAGAGTTAATCACATATCGTAGAGTTTACTGCTCACTGGAAAATTTCAATAAAAAAATATAAATTTTTATTCGTACCTTTATTACTTAAAATAGCACAAAATGCAAATTTAGAAATATTCTTAGATAATAAGAACACAAGAATATGAATGCTTTTAATGGAAGGTATGAACCTGATGCTTTAACAGTAAATTTTTAATATTTGGCTTCAAATTAGTCACTTCAATTAACTTAAGCATGATCAGCCAGTGATTTCCAAGTCAGTTCTTGTAACAAAACATCCAACTCTTCAATGTCAACAAATAGGTTGATAATCCACTGTGGTATTTCCATAGTCAAAACATCCTCAAATTTGGTTTTAAATTTGGTGTGAAGGGCATTTAAATGTTGAACATGGGCTGTAACATCATCTTGGCAGATTTTGAATTGGGAAAATTTCCACCTTCCAATGTTTTGCTTCATTAGGTGAATTCTGGCAATAAATAAAGCTCCAATGATAGATATGGTTTTTATTAAATTTAGATTGTCTCCTTGTAAATGCAAGTGAACCTCATTATAGTTAGTGTAAAAGTATATTAAATAAACAATGTCTAATTTCCGTTTGAATTAAATTTTCTTTTACAATGGGATCTTCAGCATCCCAAAACTGTAAAACAGAGTATTAAAAAAAAGGTGCCAAATGTAGGTCTTTTGATAGCCAGTTTAACTTCTGAGCGAAGGAGTATCCAATAAAAGTTCTCGTCATTTTCTTAGCATAGCTGCACAAATAACCTAGAATTCAATGCATTGCTCAATTTTGTTTACTATGTTCAGGATGAATTGATGAGATTGATATAGTCTGCAGCAGATTTTTCAAATATGTCAATTTTAAAAACTGTTTCTCTACAGTTTTGAAGTGATTTATAATAACTTTTGCAATTAAAATTTTACAGTTTCTTTTCTATAATAAAACTGTTGATAACCAAAAACATTTCGAAAGAATCACATTCCACCTTGTTCTATCAAATATTGATCTTTTTAATAAAATATTTAATTTTAGCATTCAAAGTAAATTTTCTATAATAAAACTGTCAATAACCGAAAACATTTCGAAAGAATCACATTCCACCTTGTTCTATCAAATATTGATCTTTTTAATAAAAATTTTTAATTTTAGCATTCAAAGTAAATTTTCTATAATAAAACTGTTGATAACCGAAAACATTTCGAAAGAATCACATTCCACCTTGTTCTATCAAATATTGATCTTTTTAATAAAATTTTAATTTTAGCATTCAAAGTAAATATATTGCTATTTTTTCCTTGAAGAGACAATATGAGATACTTCCGTTTCTGTCTGACTAACAGCATAACTTTGATAACCATTAGTCATTTTGAAAAAAAGCAGAAAGATTAGTTTTTTGGGGGGGGTTAAAAATTTAACCAATGCAATTTTTCCATCTATACCTTCAGTTTTAAAAACACTTGTCAGCTTTACTATATGCATCTTTCCCTTTTGCATATTCTTCCAAACACTGATAAAATAAAACTTCTTTATCAATGTTTTCTTTATAAATGCATCTGACATATACTAAAAATTTAAAGATTTTATAATTAGCAGTTGCTTTGCTGAACTGAATTGCAAATTTTAACATTTTTTTTTTTTAAGCCTAGTAGTAAATTGTTGGTATTGGTCATTGCTAATTTTGGAAATTTCATTGGTGACAGTGTTCTTTGACAAAGAAATTTTCCAAATTTCACTGCCATATTATTTCTACTGTTTTAACAGTATGAGGTAATGCAAGATCTTCTCCATTGGTGTACGGTTAAGTTTTAGCAAGCAGATAAGAAAATTTCGAATAATGGCAATAATTGTTTTTCTCTAGCAGCCATAAATTTCTCAAAAAATTTCTTTTACTTAGATTTTAACAGTCGTTTGGTCGTTTGAAATAATCTTTTGATTTATTGATGTATAAAGGATGCTTTGATTCAAGGTGCCTTTTTAACTTCAATCATTTTATACTCTCCATTGCCAAAATTGAATTCCAAATTAAACATGCAGGTTGTTCATTAGCATCACATTAAATGTCCCATCCTATTTTCTTTTTCACATTTTAAATGCCTCTATTTACTAGATCCTGTTTGAAGACACTTGGTAGCATTGCTATTTGTG